GGCAGTATCACTACGGAAGTAGGATTGCCCAACCTTCCTTCCGAGGAGTGGCTGGTGGGTTTGAACCGCCAGCCTTCTGGTGAGCAGTCAAGTGGTACAATGCAAACAGGTTTAGATTTTATTTTTCCCATTCCCTGTAGGAAAATAAAATCTAAACCTGTTTGCATTGTACCCCCTTACGACTGGGCCTTTCCCTATATGTTCTGCCATCCTCCAGCAACTTTTCACATCTCTCCAAAACCCCTCACCACAACCTCCCTTACCTCCATCTTCTAGCACACTGAATTATTTGAAGTCCCCCAGAAACCTTAATTATTATGCCTCCTTGTATTTGTTCTTTATACCCAGAATGCTCTTCTTAGCCATCTGGCAAGTGCTTACTCATGCAAATTATGGCTCAAAACCAGTCACATTTCCTTAATCCCCCTTTAACTCTTAAACTGTTGCCAGGGGAAAAGTTAATGCAACAATGCTGTTCCACTCAGCTCTCTCTTACCTCTGTAACCATAATGATGATCTTTGGTCAAAGTCTAAGACCTAAAATACCGGAACTTGTTACTGGTAATGCTGTAATTCTCTACACCTGAAGCAGTAGGTCAGGATGAACTAAGTTGTCAGCATATCTAAAGTAAACATGAGGATTCATAATGTGTACTTAGTGTCTGGTTTGGGGTCTACTGCATGGCTGGATATGTGGCAGGTATGTGACCAACTCCCTTTAGAAACTTTGAGACTTAAGGAGATTTTGCTGGGCAAGGACATCTTGTATATGACCCTATAGTTAACAGCTGGAGAAAGATATAGCCTTTGTCTTTGTATATTTTTTTCTTATTGTTTCTGTCCTGTCTTCTCTGCTGTAATAAATCTTAACCATGAGTATATGTTGATATGAATCCTTCCAGAGAATCACCACACTAGTGGGTGGTTGTGGGGCCACTGGAGATAGCTATCATTTTTCCTTTTTCCCACTGCACTTAGTGTATAAACTTTTAAAGAAATATCTTATTGCACTATGTATATTTACTTCTTTAAAAGCATGCCTAGAATGTAGTCTGGTTAATGTCTTTTTCTTCTCCTTAGTGCCTAGCACAGTACTTGACACATAAAAATCGGCCAATAAACACTTGAATAAGGTATCCTGTCTGAGACAAGAAATAAAGAATATTCAACAACATCCAGGTTTTATAAAATGAGCGAAGAGAATATCTCTGTTGCAGAATGTAAAGGAGGGTTGAAGACAGAGCCACATTTAGCTCAGACGTGTTTTCTTCAGGTCACAGTTCAATCGTGGCCACCAAAACACTATACTCTTTCTCAAACTGCTACTCATTTACTTCCAAGATTAAAACTCTTGTAGTTGCAGATTCTATCCAGTGTTTGTCCAATAGGTTTCTAGTCTATCTCCTTGAACATAACTATGGCCATAGTTATCTAACAAATTGTGCTTTCTGAATTATATATAAACCCAAACCCAAACCACTGTTAGGTTGAAGGAAGTAAAACTCCATATTCAGCTCCCACCCTTGTCTCCATATATGGCACTCAACTTGTTTCAGCATTTTCTCCGCTTCATAGGGCAACGAAGAACTGTGGTAACTAGCTGGCAATAGTGTCAAAGTCACCTTAAAACAAAACAAAACAAAACAGAAAAACAAATTCACTGCTATGGAGTCGGATCCGAATCACAGAGACCCCTCCTTGGGTTTCCAAGGCAGTATCACTACCGAAGTAGACTGCCTATTGTTCCCTCCTCGGAGTGACTGGTGGGTTTCAACCGCCAGCCTTCATGGGTAACAGTCAAATGCTTGAGGCACTACACCACCAGAGCTCCTAAGAGTACCGTAGCAACCAAAGATAATTGGTTTATTATGAGAGGAATATTAGTTAATCACGAGAATTGTCCATGTAAGACGTTTAACTGTAGAGATTGTAAATGCTTTTCACGTTATCAGGAAATGGTATTAATTCTACAACTTTGATATCTAGTGTTTTTTTTAGTTACAAAATCAAGTTACAGGTCTTTCTTGTAACGGGAAGAAAAAAAAAAAAAAAAAACCCTAGCAGAGGATGGTTTCGATCCATCGACCTCTGGGTTATGGGCCCAGCACGCTTCCGCTGCGCCACTCTGCTTCTTGCTCGCAAGCGCTTCCTATCAATACCCTTAACACTATTATCCAGCACTCATGTGGCTGTATAGCTACTTCAAAGTCTTTGTTATTAGTTGCCAAGTTCTCGGAAGTAATTTTGCCACGAGAATTGGAGAACACAAAGCTACGAGTAGACAACAAAAAACATGTTACCACTGAGTATCCGATTCATGGAGACCTTACGTGTGTCAAAACTCCATCGGGTTTTCAATGCCTGATTCTTCCGAGGTAAGGTTGCCAGACCTTTCTTCCGAGGAGTAGTAAAGTACATTTTAACAAACTGATAAGTTATTCGGTGCACAGGTGCGAGGACGCTGGATATTTGAATAAGAATTACAAGTTTGAATGAACAGAAAGATAAAGTCAGGAGCGGGAATCCCGGACCTCCCGAGAAGAGCGATAATTCTACCATAAATCGCAACCCTTCACCTTAGGAAATACCCTTTTGGTCAAAATGTCCTTAGTTTAGGGATGTAGAAATGAAGTCTTGTAGTTTTATAACGCCTTCGCAGGGGCGTTTTGTTCCCAGGAGCTTTTGCTGCAGAGCACAGGAGTGCCGGAGCTATAAAGCTTGAGGGCTAAGAAGACACTTCACATCCCAAAGGAAGCTGCTGCAGTTTGGATGTGTCGGCAGGTTTCTTGTGTAATCATCCCAAGCAGCCAATTATCATCACTGAAAAATGTCACTTTTTCCTCCGACCGATGCAATTAAGTGGTCTGAAAATTCCAATTTGAGGCTGCAGGACTAGTAAGACACGCCTTTGCTGCTTCCACCTGGCGGGACCAAACTCATCAGTGATGTAATTCTGGGCTGGGCTGAGAAAGGCCGCCAATAAGGCGAGTGCACGTTTCCGCGCGCGCGCCTTCGGTCCCCAATTAGGTCCGATGCTCACTCATATAAATGGGTTGCTAGGGCCTAACGGTTCTTTGTAGTTGGTTCTACTGGTTCTATTGCAGTTATGTCTGGACGTGGCAAGGGCGGGAAGGGGCTAGGAAAAGGGGGCGCTAAGCGTCATCGGAAGGTGCTGCGTGACAATATTCAGGGAATCACCAAGCCTGCAATCCGGCGTCTGGCTCGGCGTGGCGGGGTCAAGCGCATTTCTGGTCTTATTTACGAAGAGACGCGCGGTGTGCTCAAGGTTTTTCTGGAGAATGTAATCCGGGACGCTGTTACCTACACAGAGCATGCTAAGCGTAAGACTGTTACCGCCATGGACGTGGTGTACGCACTGAAGCGTCAGGGACGCACGCTCTACGGCTTCGGCGGCTAAGCTGCTGGGTTCTACCTATTTCTCTTTGCATTTCCAAACCAAAGGCCCTTTTCAGGGCCGCCCACATCTCGCAAAAGAGCTAACATTGTAAACTTGCATGTATTGGTGATCTCGCACTCAGTAATTTCAGGCTGGTATTAGTGGTTAGCTGACATTTATGAAAGCTGGGGGTGGAAAAGTTGAATGGTCTTGTCCCTTCCCACAGGCAGGATCTTGAGTATAAACCGTTTATGGTTATCTTAAGTGGCTGAGAAGGGTCAGGGATTTTTTGTCAACATCCCCACACGAGAGGTTTCCTTTTCAGTTCTCAAAGACTGCAGAGGCTTGGAGTTCGGAGGTTACTATGTATGGTGCTCAGATTGTAGAGGAGATCGAAACTGCCCCACACAGATAGGTAGGCGAGCTTCTCTTCCCCCGCCAGGATCTCTGTGCTCAAAATGGCGGGGAGAGCCAGGAACAAAGAAAACCCGCGTCCTTGCGGCTGGCAGGGAAGGCCGGCGACAAAGACGAACTCGTGGACCGGCTGCTACTCTACCAGCTTTGCCCTGGGGCAGGCGGCCGGTCCTCTCCAGTCTGCCTGGCAACCTAGCTGCTAGTGTGCAGAGTAATGGAAGTACTGAAATGCACATGGTAGGAGAGCTGGCAAGTTTTGTTCCCCAGAAAGGCTTTTTTTACTTTTAACTTTATGAAAACATTAAAACAAAAGCAGAGATTTTATTCAAATGGCTAATATAAACACCTAAGTTTAAACAAATTGACAAGATAGGACTTTTTTTTAAAGTACATAAACATCAGGACATTTAATCTCATGTATACAAAATAAACCCCGCATACTGCTAACTAAATTAAGCCAAATTCTTTAATATCTAGTAGTAAATCTACATTAAAAATTCGATTATTCCCCATATGTGTTAGGATTGGTTTGTTCAAATGAGGATCCAGGCACACCTTTGGTCTCAAATCTTAAATCTGGAAGTATTCCCCATTAGCCTTGCCTATGTTAACATTTGTTTTGATTTGTGGGGAGATCAGGCGGGTTCTACAGAATGTGAGCCCCTTCTGGATTGATTTGTTTCCTAATAGGATCATTTAACTTGTCATCTCTGCCTTGTGTTCCTGTAAACTAAAAGTAATTTCTACAGATGTAATTGAAATTTGGCTAATATTTTTGTCAGGAACAGTGAGTAGGTGATAAGTACATGCTGTTGCACTAAGTCAGGGACATATGTGTAGTTCCTTCGAATTTGAGATAAGATGGATCACTGGTTTAGGGTAATAGTTCATTGAAAAATCAGATTTTTGTCCTCGTGATCAGTAATCTGTAGGGTGATAAATTTGGACTCTGGAGAATCAAATAATTTTGAATTTATTCATTTTTAAAGATCCAGATTTGTGCTTAAATACAAAAAGAATCAAATATTGGAGCTGAGCTACCAGTTTGAGGAGGAAAAGTTTAAGGAAGATGTTAATTTAGCTGAAACTTTGTGTGTGTGTGTGTGTGTGTGTACATGGCATCTGCCAGGTACTATTCTCTAGGAATAGAGACGTAAATAACAGAAATATTTCTAAACTCACGGAGATTATATTTCATTGGGGTAGGGGCGAAAAAAATAGTGTCAGATGGTGTTGGAGTGCTTGAAGACCAATAAAGCAGGGGAAAGGCAGAAAGTGGGGGAGAGAAGTGATATTTTAAATGGTATGGTCATGGAAGACTTTACTAATAAAGTGATGATTAGGAAAAAAAGATTGAGAAAGTGAAAGAATACTCCAAATTCCAAGGAAGGAATTCTAAGTACAAAAGCCATGAGGTAATAAGGAGGTATTATGCCTGCAAGAATGAAGGGAAGAGGGCCAGATACTTGAGGAGAAGAATTAACGTCTGGAGGGAGGGTGGTAGATAGTTCCACATATAGCCCTATAGGCCAGTGTAACTAACTACTTTGGCTTTTACAAAAGTGAAGTGATAGCCCCTGTAGGGTTGTGAGCATGATACTGATGTGCTAATTTATATTTTTAAAAGATCTATCTGGAACTTATGTGTCATTGGAATTCCAGAACAGGAAGAGAAAAACAAAACCACTGAGAAAATTGTCCAAGATTTGCTGGAGGAGAACTTCCCTGA